TCTTTTCTTTACAATAAGGCTTTCAAATAAGTCATGATTGTACGGCAGTGAAGCATCGGTGTTGAACACTGATGTCATGCTCTCGATGATGATGATGACGAAATCCAGGTGCGAGAAATCGAGATGCCGGTGTTGGGTTCTAACCATGGCCCTGCGGGTTAGTGCGTTGACCACTTGACCACTGACCTGTCTTGGCCTTAGAAACGGGCGTACCAGAATCCTCTTCAGGTCTCGACGGATAGATATTCCCATGACCGCGTCACATTTTCAATAGATCCGGGACCAAAGTCGCAGCCTTACTCTGGCCGTCCTAATGTTTAGGCTCTTTCTTTGATTGACGATAGATGAGTTCTTTGGGAATACGGTTACCGACCATTTCGTTTTGACCAAAAATACCGATAACGGACTAATAAGATTCACTTGCGAACCATCCACGCAGGTGACATCTCGCAATGTTAGCCGTTACGAGTACCACAAAACCTTACGAACTGATTTTACAAAGGCTGTGCCGTCACCACCAGCCACCGTCGCCTCAGTGCCGCCGTCGATCGCTCACAAGGAATTTTACTTGTAAAAGCGTCCCGTGCGTAACAATTTAATTGGGCCTCATGGTCGGAACCGTTGCTGAAGTTTTTAGTTGATTAGCCACAGTCAGATCGCACATAATCTGTCGTTTTTTTTCAGGTGCCGAGGATTCTGCACCACCTACGGCCCCGGGGAGCACGGTTAATAAGAATAAGTACAATGATCTGGCTTGTGAGTTGGAGGAACTGCGTGAGTTGTTCAACAATCGGACATCCGAGTTAGAACGCATTCAGGTGAAGCTGGCGGAAAAAGTTGGAGAGAATGAAGCGCTTCGCATGCAGGTAATTTCCGAGCCCCGTTATTTGGTTCATGCCGTTGGGCGTCAAGGTGAAATGTTGACAAACTGATATTGTTATTTGCACTTACCCGTTATACAGACACTTACTCGCTTTCTGGTAACTGAGCTTAAAACAATGAACATATCCAGTGAAGAAGCGCATGATACCCATTGTTGGAACAGCTGCGGACGATTACTCTGCTGAACTACACTGCATACCATATTGTTCTCGTCTTCTCAGAGACGGAAATCGCGCAATCATTTTTGAGTTGATTGTTTAGATCCTTTCTACTATTTTTCGCCAACCATGCTAACCCACAAATTTCGAGGTACTGCGCGTTGTACGAGGCCACTGTAAATCTAAAGCTCCGCTTTTCATCGATTAATTTGAAACAGGGATAAGGAAAAAATAACGTTTTGACTCGAGTCCGAGTAATTTCGCAACATTTTATTCGACCGTCCTCCCATTAAATACGGAATAGACATTCAGAGCACAGATGAAACAGCAGCATATCCCTTGAGGTTTAAAAAATTGCGTGACGATCTTCACCTGATGTCACACACACGGCGTTCTGTTAGCGCTTATCGCGGTTCAGTATGGGAATTCAATGCGCAGGTATCGGAACCTGAGTTAGTCCATTTTGCTACATAGCAGCACTTTTGATTGCAACGCTGATTGGTATTAGGTGGCAAAGGTCTTCGGTTTTAGAACATGTGGAACATAAATGAGCTGCCTCCAAACCTGTGATACTGTGTTTGGTAACCACAACACATTTAAACTGGCATCAACGTATCCCTACTGAGGCACCGAGGACCTCCCCTGAAGAACACACCTAGCACCGTGAGTGATGGTGCATGATAGTATGATATCAGTGTTCAACGGCGATGCTTCACGGCCGTACAACCGTGATTTATTTGACTGTCTTATTGTGAAGAAAAGAATAAGGGTAGCTTGATACACACGTTCCTAGAGATTCAGGAAATACAGCTTTGACGCCATAGGTGTCTCAAACTGGCAAACGCGACCCGATCCTTGCGGATTTGTGCGTTGACTTCATCTGCACACTGCGGCCAGAATTAATACCACTTCCAAATTACATCAACTTCGGCTGCCCCTCCCTGGGTTGCAAGTGGCGTGTTCAGTGACTGCATGTTTAGGAGCATGACCTTGGGCTTGATGGGTGCAAAGTATATATTAAAGGGCTGGTCAGTTCATACAAAAACACCTGCGCCTTCTCGTCGAAGACGAGAACAACGTCGACTGCATATTCCAGATCGACAAGGTTTTCATCACAAGCTATTTGAACACCGGGGTCTTGGAGACCTTCCAACTTTCTCATGATTTCATCGATCATGAAATTGATTAGGAATGGGGAGTCTGGGCATTCCTAACGGAAGCTTTTGCAGAGCTCGTCGTGACGGTTCGGTCCTACTGAATCATCTCTCGAGAGGATCACTGTTTTGTTTTAATCTCAGAACTAGTTTACTTATATTCAGTCAGTTGGAAGGCACCTGGAACAGACTGAGAAGTCATCGTTCTCGGGAAAACTTGGAAGACAATTCGTATTGGTGGAGAAGCCTCAATGGGTATTCTTTATGTGGCGTATCTTTCAAGAATGCGGTCCACGTGATCAAATCACCAGGAGAGCTAGCCACGGCTCGGGTATCGGATAGGTAATCATCGTTTGTACGAGAATGGGGCCTCGTTGTTGCGATAGCTGTCCTTCCTTTCCTGAGATTAGGTCACTTTCCAACACACTCCAAGTTCTGTATCTGTTTCCAGTCGTTGAGATACATGACTTCCTGTAGAGAATGGTGTATATATATTTTTAGCTCCGGGAAACTTCCGAAAGTCAAGTACTGGAGTCGCCTCAGTATGCTTCACTAAAAGCTCAGTTTAATATCCTATACAACGAAGCTGTGCAACTTCGTGGTCAGCTTGAAGAGTCCAGATCCACCTTGCAGAGCATCCGCCACAGCCATCTGAAGCATATTGCTGAAATGGAAGTAAGTTTTTTCATTGATTATTTCTGTGTTTCTAATTCAGCTTCTCATAATGCTCTGTCCTAAGTTTGCCCGCGAGTCGATTTTACTCGTTTCAACTAGTATGATGTGCTTTTCAAAAACGTAATCTCTCTGGGGTGTAGTTTTGCACTATACAATATGGTCATGCAATAGCATGCTGTCAGCAAGGCTACTGAAATCCGCGTCCATTTTCCCATTCGAGCCTTCCAAAGTCCATTGAATTCAAGAAGCGGCCAAAGTCAGTAGGTAGCTGACTCCAGATATCCAACTATTGTTTTTGCACCATCACCCCGTCTAATTCGTTGTGGCTACTTGTCGCTTAGTGGCGTATGGCATCCGGTCTTGTTTGTGTTCAGACCTCAGCGAGGACATCTTCACACAGTGTCCCCCAGATTTATTTTCCTACCTTGTTTTGCTCTTGTTAAGTCTCACTTCGCCCCCCTTTTTATTGTAGTTAAATGAAGCCGCCATCCAAAACCAGATGCGCTCCGAGATGTTGCATATTGAAACCCAATACTCTCAGTTGCGTCGCACGCACGAAACCATGGAATTGGACTTCAAACAGGCGCTGGCACATAATGAACAAGCTGGTCCGATAAATAGTGAAATGCGCAGCCTAATCGCCACATTACAGACACAAAACAAACAATTAAAGGCCGAAGTGGCACGGTATCGTCGCAAGTGTAAGGAAGCCAGTCAGGATTTAGACTTGGTAAGTGTGTGTGTGTGTGTGTGTGTGTGTGTGTGTGTGAATCAGCAGTTATGTCATCGATTGTTTTCTGAGACACGTCGTCCACCGACCTACACGCCTTGTTTGCCAATGAGGCATCCATTGTCATTTCAACGGGCAACAGCAACAACTGAATAGTTTGTCTGTCCGTTCAGAGAGTCATACCTAACGTACAGCAAACTAGTGCTTCAGAAGGGATTTCATTCCTGTCCAACACCAGACTTCCTTAACACCTAAGAAACCGTCCTGCGATCTGCGTGGGGGTTGCAGAAGCAATTTCATTCTACAACTTTCTTGGGTTCTATGCGATCCCTCAACTTTCGTGAACTTTAATGGAATATTCGATACGCAACTTCGCAACATAATCATTCCCTCTACGAATCCACTATATCCGCCACCTGTGACTTCGACTGGAAACTGAGTGTCATTACAGGTGGAAAGTAGACATCTAAGATATTTCCCATTTTAAGATGTGCTACTTGCTATTCAGCCTGATACTTTATTCCAGAAGTGAAAAATGTCCTAATGCTACACTCAGTATCGATACCGTTTGTCACACGGATTTGTTTCCTCAACTTCCAATCAGCCAGTCGAGTGACGCTACTCTGAGGACTTATTCCTCACATTAAAGATGTAAAGACGACATTAAACGGAATAACTTCAGCAGCCCATTCGAAATGCCGCATCTCCTTGTCAGAGGCGAGAATGACCCCCAGCGATAAAACAGACTTCCCTTCTAAACTACCCTGCGTAGGATAGCAACCTAACAAGTTTGGAACAGATCAGGTGACATCAAAATGCGTTCTGAAATCCTGCGAATATCGAGCTTATGGGATCTATGAGTGTGACAGGGTTACAATATTCAGCGTTAACAATAATAACGGTCGATTGCCTATAACAAGCTTTCGATACCACTCGAAGGAAGCACGACGGATGAGATACTCCCAGCTTCCTCAAGTATAAACAGGATCAGTTAAGGTGCCGAGGTTGGATTCTAACCACGGAACTTCCGGTCAGTAAGTTCGCCCCTTGACCACTAAGCCGTCACCACTATTTGATGTGATCGATTCCTGCTCTATCTGACTTCGTAAAACAAACGAGAAGAAGTATGTCGACAAATACACTTATTTGCATATCAATTTGGTTTTCTCAGGAGACTTAACAAAATCTGGTTTATCGTATTTTCCAGCGGGATGTGCTTCACAAAGATCACCTCATGTTTCAGTTGCTACGACATTCGAGATATCTTGGTATATTTTCATAAAGGAGACTGTCCACAGGTTGCTGAAAATTCATCGATAGCCCACGGCCATGCAGAAAGGGTGCAAAACCACCAAGGCAATCACCCAGTGGTCACCCTTCCAAGGTGCCCCTCCCCTTGCCCATCTTCGGAAGAGTCAGATTCCCGACCGCTTTCACTGATTTGAATTTTGCTCGTCGTCGGAAACTACCGCACTGTCAGGCGGCGATGAAAGATGTCCTCGTAAAGCCTGTACAATCCTTCTTCGATGGATGCGTTAGCGTCTCCGACAGACTATCCTGAGTTTACCACACCCAGCAGTATCAGACAAGGGTGATCTGCCGCCCTTTCTCTTCAGTTCCACATCAGTGTACTGTTTGAGTCTTCTTTACCTGCCACTAACAACTCAGGGATCTAAAATTCACCCTCGGTGTTCGTTCACATATATTGAAGATGATGGGTGTATATCTTTCCATTTACCAGGTACTTGAATAATGAAAACCACTTTAAATAACCATTTGTTTCAACCAGACAGTTCGTCATGAGTTAGTAACGTTGGTTTGGCAATGTACTTCATATACGAGAGGGCGTTTGCCCATGGTACGTTTCCTCGCTTGTCTTTTGCGTGCTTGCTTTTGTTCGAACTTCCCGAGCTAGATATAACAAGAACTGGCGGTTGATTGATCTCAGTGGCTTTCATTTTCTTTTCAGATCGTCTGATTGAGCGTGTGATGGTGGTAGGGTAGCACCAGGTTCCTCTCATCCAATCTTGTCTGATTTCTCATTGTAAGACAAAGTGGCAGTTCACGAAAGTTTTACACTGTCAACTGTCCTAAAACTCCTCTGTAAGGCCATTCCATGTGTATGCATCAACCGACAAGTTCAAAAATGCACTACTCTCTTCTGTTTTTCTCATAGCATCCCATTTCCTTTTACTCTAACTTCGTCATTTTCCGTCCCTATTCGTGTATTCTTTCATTCAGGTTAAAAACGATCTGAAATCCACGGAGGACGAACTGTCACAGGTTCGGACTGCTCTCTCTGAGGCTTCAGCCGCTGCACTGGCTGCCGAAGTAAAAGTGAGTACCTCCTTCATTTTACGTTGCCCTCACTTGAGTCGGACTGATTGTCCCCTATTTCATCGCATTTTAATATCTCTAAGTACCTTTCAGTTAGCAGATAAATAGCCAGATTCTCCAGGAGGCACTTGGCTATCTTTATTGTTTTTGGCTATGAAACTCAGTAATCCAAGTCTATATTCTGAACCTGCTATGTGGTTTATGGTTTTTTTAAGACTCGACTATCCGATCCATCGTCGACTTGTGAACCTATTATCTTCCGTGAGTGAATTTCACGTGGGGATTCTTGCAATGGACTTCCTCACTCACAACTTGGTCTGAACGCCGTTTTGGTATGTCACACAAAATGGGTTGGGGCACGTATATCCTACGCTAAACAGCTGGCTGGATCTCAGTTGCTTTCCACCATCGTGCTAGTAGGAAAAGGTCCCCAGTCTGATCACCATATGAAGTGGCACCGAAATATGGAATTGTGCACAGGTCAATGAGCCACCGAGCCAAATGGATGAAGTTTCAACCAAATTAAAAAAATTTAATATTTCGAATGGTAATCGCTTAACCGTAACAATTTCGGTGCCTAGTGCCATACTAACCGAAGAAAGCACGAGGGCCGAGATACTGGTAGGTTTCCCAAGCCCAAACATGAGCGATTGAGATGCCGCGCATGGGCTACGTTCACGGCCAGTGTGTGCCTTATCCACCGAGTTCAGTTAAACTGGAGCTCAGTTAAACTAGGTCGTCGAAACAGCATAACCAGTAGGCCAGCACAATTTCGATGGCGGCGCAATTTCCTTCTGAACACCAATCGAATCCCAACAGGCTGATCGATAGCAGCGTGGAATGTGCTGTTTGGAACTGGTTCAGGGGTACCAACTTAGGGTTTGAAAACTGTTAGTGCACTATTGATGATGGTCATAATGCAAATCAGAAGGTATATGCACTAGTAAACGTGTTTACTGTAGTTGACAATGGTCAGATGCCACACGTATAAAAATAAATTTGGATATTATTTAGCTTGAATTTTGCGGTCTAGCCAACTATGTTTTACTCGGCATGAGTAACTGCCTCGGAGGATAAAGGCAGTATGTGGTTTCTCTGGTTCAACCGTTGAGGAAAATCCGTCAAACGACAAGCAAGCTTGAAAATTGTGGTATCCTTAACCTACTTGCAAGTCTGTGTGTTGAGCCTAGTTGTATGCCTGTTTATTGTGTGCATTGTGAAACGAGGGGTGTCCCTTCGTGTTTGATACTTGTACGCACATGAATACATCTTGACCTGATGTGTTGAATGGGGTTCATAATCCTGGCGCGTGACGCAAGTAGTAGCCACGTAAACGAAAATGGTTGAAAAGTTTCATTGTACATGTTGTCGGCTAAGGTTGCAAGTGGGACAGGAATTGTCACGTGGTTTGAGTGTCTGTGACGCGTGATCTGGTGAGTGACCTCTACGCAACCACGTTCCTTGCCTGTAATGGAAGCCCTCCCATCTGGGTGTGACGCGATTGCACTAGAGGACTTCCAACTATCATTTGGGGAAACAGTCAGGTTGGTGTACCTTGTGGGACAAACACTTTGTCATTACACCAACAAATGATACTTGACACGAGCATACGGATGCATATTTACAGAGGTTGGTGTAGTTTGCTAGTCTGACCTTCAGCTGGATCCTGTTAGCAAGACTGAAACTGAAACCCCTGCCAGCGCAATGGCTTGCGACCGAATAGCCTTTGGATGGAACATCATATGGACATCTGTTCCGTTTAGTGAACTGCTAATTTCTCAGTAGGAATCGCTCAGTTTATTAGTTCTATAAAGGCGGTATGTGGTTTCTCTGGTTCAACCGTTGAGGGAAATCCGTCAAACGACAAGCATGCTTGAAAATCGTGGTATCCTTAACCTACTTCATGAAGGCAGAAAACAAGCGTATAATATGAACATTTGGACTACTTTTCCAGGCATGCATACAAGAGTATGGGATAACGTAGTGACGAATAATCCTCATGGGTTCAATAGAGGTTAAAAAGGTTGTGAATTATGGTCGCGGTAATTGGGTTAGTTTTTTGTCCATTGTGATGAAAAGGGCTTCAGCAAATGCCAGAATCGTGAAACGGAGTTTCGGACGCCACCTTGTGGTCAGCCACATGACCTGTTGTGGCCATATACGTAGTCATCGATGGTGCTAAATTCTTGGTCCCTGTTTTGAATATACAGCTTTGCTGCTGATTAAGTCTTTATTGCCCCTTCGCAACAGTCGTCGTTCTGCTCTACCGATGAAGGATTAATTGAAACTGTGCTTGAAGTGATATGCCCACTAAGGGTTCACGATGTTCTCAACTAATTCTTCTAGCTAGTGGAAGTAAATGGAGGTAAACTGATGGTTATTTGTATGCTAGAACGGTTTATGAACCAAGTTGTTCAGCTTTTGTTGGTCCTTCTGTGGCAGTCAAAGGAACATCTTTTTTTGCGGGAGGGGAGACAGATGTCTGGCCAACTTTCGGCTTCAGACTACAATCTACTTCAAACTGCAAAGCAGCAGTCTGACTAAAGGATCCAATTCTATGATAAATGCTTGCCTTCAGGCCGATTTCCAGAATATTTCATAAGGTCACTCCACGCACATTGTCGCCAGTGCAAAATTATATCTTTGACGCTTAGCAATGCATGGCCAGCTTGCTGAAGAATAAGGAAAATAAGTAATTCGATTCTGGTCGCACGAATTTAGACGCGGGGTGTGACACTTGTGACTTCTGGATGCTTTCCCAATAATATCAAGTATATGGTTTTTACTATAGGATTGTAGCTCAGTTTGGCACTCTTCAGGCCCCCAGGTTTGTATGCTCTGGATGTATTATAACTTGTTTATAGTCTATTGCCTGAAATCAGTACGTCACAATAGGTTCGTCATATCGTGCTGCAAACTGTCTCAACAATGTATGTATGTCCCTGAGGTAACATCCGAGGATAAGAGGTTAGGTTCTCTTATTTCGCTCTCCGAAATTTATCTATTTCGACTTTTCTATCCAACCACAGACCACGCATCCAACTCCAGCGGAACTGAAGACAGAACCGAGTTTAAGTAACTCGGCTGCAACACTCACTAAAACGGAGGACGTTAGTTTAAACGAAACTTCTGTCTGTCAAGAAGTCTGTCCAGGGTGTGGTGCGTCATCTACTCCGGAGCCGTCCGTAGAATTGAAATCTGTGAAGACGGTGGGTGCTTCTTTCCGTTTTCGGTGGTCAGTTGCTGATAAACTGTATGTTTAGTGTATACCCAGCAAATCCATGCAATTTTTATCCCGGCGATCGCACTCTGCATTTGTCCGGTTTATCGGCAGTACGAGTTCTACTGCACTCCTTAGTTAGTGTGCTATGTCGAATGAGGAATAGTGCATAGTTGTGACATTAGCTATCTCCCTTTTCCCCTCCCCTATGATATGGTGAACTACTGGTGTAGTTATCCTTGTATTAAACTTCCGCATGTTCGAAGTATCATGTTGGATTGTAGGTCGATGAATGCACAGATTTGAGTGGACGGATGACCGAGGACCTGCAATAACGACGTTCGTTTTGGTGGGTAATCGGAAGACAAGTGTTCAGCGTCAGAGCTAGCCCAAGTTCCCAATAGTCCAGGCTTAGTACGCATCGCTGCCAGGAAAAATTCTGCGCCTGATAAGACAGGATAGTTAGTGTCTTGGTCACATACAGCCGTAGCTACACGAATGCGGTAGGACATATGGGGGTGCTGTTACAATCACAGATCTTCAGTGAAGAGGTAGCTGATCAGGTGTCGATCCAAATTGTCCGTTTATACTGTGCGTTCTGACGGCTGTTCTCATTAGGAACCTGTGTTTTCGACTGATTCAGCCCATACAGCAGTGTTCTGAACCACTTTTATTACAGGAAGCACCTACTACGGATCTCCAGACTTCGTCTCAGTCGGGCGGAGCTTCATCAGAAGAGGTCATTCGAACTCTCAGGGAACAGTTAAAGTATGTGTTTATTATGTTTCCTTTCATATCTTCCCATATTTATAAGAGCCCATATCGACTGTTTCTCTGATCAAGGTATTTAGCAGTGTTAGTGGCACTTTACGATGACGCTCTATCAGGTTTTTATTTGATCTTATTAACCAAGTGCCATAGGGAATAGACAGCCCCTTCGGTGCAAAGTATCACTGGTTCACTGCAATACCGCTTTCACAACTTTGTCTTCTATAAAGCGTCCATAGCTTTATCCTAAGTGTTGAGTGACTCACAGTCATTTCATCGATGACAGGCTTGATGCATATAGAATAATTTTGTGATTTTGGAGTTGAATAGTCTAACTTTGGTTATCCTTCGGTTCACAACAGCCATTCAACATGTAGAAAACAACACTGTCAATTTACTCCACCCTAGATCGCAATTATCTGCCGTATTCTCAATTCCTACCGGACTCTTGTCTGAGTAGTTGCGTTGATTTTCTGTTTTACACCAGCTCTGAACTTAGTCTAACTTTGGTTATCCTTCGGTTCACAACAGCCATTCAACATGTAGAAAACAACACTGTCAATTTACTCCACCCTAGATCGCAATTATCTGCCGTATTCTCAATTCCTACCGGACTCTTGTCTGAGTAGTTGCGTTGATTTTCTGTTTTACACCAGCTCTGAACTACTGACCGTCAGACCAACTGGCCTTTCTAAGTGATGTCGATAAGGTAGTCAATCATCCATGGTACTTGTTTGGACACCGGTGTCACTGTAGCTGTTGTTCGGGACTAATGCACTTGATCGACATACTCTTATTCGCAATAGCGCATTTTCATAAGGAGACAGTCCCTGTTACCCTTCCATCCGACACCTGTGGAATTACCTACCGATACAAGTCATGGGCGTCGTGCTCCGAGGAACATGTGAATTATTCGTTACTCTTACTCGTGGACAACCGGACGGGTTGTCTAGGTGATTGTAGCTGGTCTCAGTGACTCATGCACGGGACCCGTAAATCGTTATTTGGACTTCATTTCATAATCTATGAACTAGTCAATCAGTCAGTTTGATTGATTATCAGTTGTCTTTCACTGACACTGAGCGAGGGCATTGTGACTCAAAGCCCCCTATGACTCCACTGTTTGGATCGAAAGTGCATGTTGGTGTACGGATGTCTGACATTCACGGGTTATTAGACACTGAGGGTTTGTTGCCCACTGTGGATAGTGATTCGTCGTAAGAACGAAAGCTTTGTAAGGACGCTGTCAAACCGCTGTATATTAGACTAGTCTGTTCGATTAGTGTGCACCTATTGCATAGCAATTCCCAGTTCTTGCCGGTTCCAGAGTTTAATCTAATATGGACGACATCCCTGCATTCACTCTCACCGTCGACGATTTAGCGGAATGTTTCCGAACTTAGCCCAGTACCAGACCTGAATTGGTGAGCACCGAGCATTGCGAAGCCGGTCACAGTGTGTAGACTTCACGCACATCAATTGTAGGTGATTATCTGCGCATAAAATAAAAATCGGATCCTCCTTAAGGTATGTTCTGCCATATTTGTATTCTTTTCCCTGTCATGCGCGACTGCCGCGCACGATCGTATTGCTGGTGAATATCATGTGGCTTATCGAATGTGCCTGCGGGTTTCGGTGTCCTAAGCTGAATCAGAACTGCGGCCAGTTCACCGAACTTATAAAAATAAAAAATCGTTCAGCTGTAGCACCCTTTCGGTGCCTAGCTGCCGTGCCACCAGAAGAAAACGCGAGGGCTGGAATACTGTCAGGTTGCCCAAACCTAGACAGGGGAAGTCGAGAGACAGGGGTCGGGTTCGAACCACGAACCTTTCGGTCAGTAAATTCGCGCTCTAACCACTTGGTCCATCTCGCCTCCACCGAACTTAGTAGTGGGCGTCGTCAATAGTTTTGTTTTGTCCAACCAGTCGTTACAAATTCGGTTGTTGAATCCTCAGTGTCTCATGGCCGATCATGTTAATTGCTTCTCATCTTCCAGTGCATAAGGTTCCTAGAATTTTTCATTTGCTTATCCAACATTGTACCCGTCGTCCTGTATGTAGCTGCCTTATGTACCGTGACGTCGGAGTAGGCTTGGGGGAACATGTAGGGTCGTCGGTGTTTGTCTGTAACACATTAGGGTTTTTAAATGCAGAAACAAGTATGCCTTCGTGTGTCGTACCTCTGATGAACGATAGCTGTACTAAATTCCCAATGACAGATCTTTCTCCTTATGAGTGTATGGGGCAACCGGTAGAGTTAAATATCCGTGATTTCGCTCCCTCTCTAGTATGCTATCATAATAGCTAGGTGATTGGTGTTTTTGAGCCGTTGCACCCAATCGGATGTGCTCCACTTCCCGACCTTGCCTGGCTCATCTACCACCAATCTTCAAACTGTTTCGAAAGGTAGACATTTGCTCTACCTAAAGTTGCCACAGGCAGCGCTAGTCATGGTTGTGCAGTGAGTTGTCCTAGGGTTTGTTGGCGACCTCCGCATTGACGTAAATTTGTCTTGGTGTACAATATTACGGGTTTTAGGCCGTGCTTCCATGTATCTCACGATTTTGCTTACTGGTTTCCGCGTTTTCCTACTTCTCGATTGTTGATCACTCAGTGTGGACTCCTTCCGAAGGAAGTTTACATTAGTCCTCCTTTCACCTTTAGGCGTTCACAAGAATCTCAGAAAGAAATGTCCGTTCTTCTCAATATGTACAAAGTCATCCCAAAAGATCAGCGCGATAAAGCAGCTCTGCTGCAGTGTGAAGCCAAGCTCCGGTCCGAGTTGAATGAAACCAAAGCTGAGCTGGAAAAACTTCAGGCAAACTTTTCGGAATTGCAGCAGCAAAATATTCGTCTGACACAGCAACAGCAGCAATTTCAGCAACAACTACAACTACAACAGAAATCCCCGTTCTTGAAGGCCTCACCAGCGGAACACACACCGCCGGTTCAATGTATCACCGCTGGTGGTGCCAGTGGCATCATACTGCCGGATCGCCTGACAGCCACAAGTTTATCCCCTTCAACTAGTTCACAGAGGACCAGCATCATGGTATCTCCCGATGAAAAGGTCTCCTCCGGCCCATCCTCAACCCGTACTCCCCCGCCATCTCAGGTGGGCCCTAGTCCAGTGACTGTTCCTGGTAAGTTGCCCTTCTTGCAACATTCCTTTGCAGAGCTCCAATTGGAACTTCAGCTCATCCAAAGGCGTCGCCAGTCTCTCGAAGTCCAGTTGGATTTATGCCAGCATCGTCTGTTGGCAGCGCAACAACAAGAAGAAGTGCTTCTAAAGGAGATGGAGGTGCGTTTTTGTCCTTTTCCTTTTTTCTATCTGTGATGTCCTTTACATGAGCCCTTTTCTTAGAATATACTTTGCGTTAGATTGAACGCACTCCACCATTCCCACCCACCGAACAATACCGAGGAGGCATGGTGTATGAAAGCTTGTCGTTTCGTGTTTTTCTTTCGAAATAGGTGTAGTTTCAATTCGCCCTTTTACGTTCAGCAATCTGTTGGGCCGATGGCTGTGTGATATCAAGCTGTTGAATGCTATACAGAAGGAATGACCCACCCTTGAAGTACGGCTGCCATAAATATAACAGTTTTCTCGGCCCATAGGCTCACCGTGCACCAACAGAAACCGCCCTCGTAAGGTGACCAAGATTGTCTGAGCATGTATAATTCAATGAGCAGACTCTGTAGACGTGTTTTGAGCATATCTGCAACTACCGAGTTCAATTATTTTCTTGTACAGTACGCCTAATGGTGTTCAGTTGGTCCTTCTAGCAAATTGGTTACTCGACCTACATTCGGTTTTTCGAAGCATTGATGTTTTCGCTCGTACTGTCGTGTGTAATTCGTGATGTAAATTGTGGTTACGTAACACGCAGGTTTTTCGTAGCGGGTCAGTTTGCACCCATGTGATTTTGATCCTGAAGAGCACTTTACTTCTCGTGATTCTACTCAAAGATGTTCTTGACTGGAGCAGTCGTTCCCGTTTCTATCCTTCGTATCATGGACTTAATCCAACCACAGTGAGCCCGAGTTTCTTGAATCAAAGGGTGTACTTGGTTGGCCTTGCTTGCAGTGAAGCATTGGTGTTGAACACCGATGTCATGCAGTCGATGATGATGATGATGCTTGCTTTATGTCGCAGAACCCAATGTAACCAACATTGCGGGATGACTCGTTTACTATAGTCTACCGACCCCACCCTTGCAATACCGCTAACCTCCGTCTGTCAGCTCTTTTTCAGTTAAGTCAAATTTGTTAAGAGGCCTGTTTATTTCGACTAATATTTACGTGATGATAATCCTCCTCGCAGATTACAGTTTCTGACGCTGCAGAGATACAGGAAGGTCTCACGTCATCTTCAGAGGCAAATACAACTTGCAAGGCGGTGTAAACCGCTGGGCAGAATCGCCGTCTTAACGACTATCCATCTGATCTCATCTACCCAAACCATCATAACTCAACTTTACGATGACCGTCTTCAGGAACAGATTGAGTTGATCAGACATCATACCGAGTCGGTACTTCCATGAACTATAGTCAGTAGCAAGATCCTAGGGTAGTTTTTTGTTCTGTTGTTTGATTCCTTAGACGGCGTAGGGACGTAGTAGCCGTGAGTCGTATCTTCTACTGTCTGCCAGTACGACTGAGTGGTGGTAACAGTATGGTCTGGACCATTTCGTGTATGGTATGCGGAGAGCTTGCTCAAACCGCGACCATGGATGTCGTTGGATCACACCGTATACGCGGATTCTAGCGACATCGGGCAATAGTGGATTTAGAAATTTTTCCATGGAGCATACCGGACTAATAAACCTCGATAACATTCTCTCACCCTGCTTGATGAGATGCACTCAAATGGATGGATATAATACCGTCCAGTGAATCAATAGTAATACGTCTACTTTCTTTTGTTACCGTCTCTGAAGAGTATTGCTGTTTGATGGCAGTGATCCATCATGCGATTGATTTGTTATTTTTCCGCAAATTTCAGGTTACCGGTCAAGCGTTTGAGGATGTTCAAGAACAGAATGTTCGGCTCGTTCGAACACTTCGAGAAAAAGATGACGCGAACCTCAAGCTGATGACTGAACGATTGAAAACCGCACAACTGGCGCGGCTTTTAAAGGAGGACAAACACTTGTTGGAGGAACAAATTCGTCTGATGCACGCAAAGATCGAGGCGTTAAATCGCACCGTGTTAAAACACGAAGATAAGGTTTGTGGATCAGCATTAGTCTTTCCATCCCATTCTATATAGTTCTGAATGACTGCTTTAACGGGTTCAGTTGTTTCGAGCCTTTTCTAAATCGAACAGCCTTCTGCATGTATTCAGTTTCACTTTGCACGTGACTTTGTGTGGCAAAGACGTGATGAGAGTTTTGTCCGTCTTGTCTGTCCGCATTGATTCTCGCTCAGTACATCCTGTTGTCGTTCGGTTCCGTTTATACCTCCAGACATTTCTCTGCTTTTATTTGGGGCGATGCTAACAAGCGCTAGTCCGTTCCACTACGTCCTCACTGTGCTTGGTTCGAGACGCTGTAAGATATGGCTGCCAGCCGATGTCTGGCGTGCTTGTTTTCAGTTTCTATCCAGATTGCCTGAATGAGTGTCTGTAGGTGTAGGCACCTCGAAATGATTGTAGGAAGCTAGCACCATCCACCTTTGTTCTTTTCTTCACAACAAGGCTTTTAAATAGTTCATGGTTGTACGACAGCGAAACATCAGTGTTGAAGATTGATGTCATGCTGTCGATGGTAATGATGATCGTGTTGGAGTCCGTTTCCGCAATGGATGCTTTCACTGTTTTTGGCCGTCTTTCTGTTCCCTCTAATTGGGAATTTTCTTGTACTCTTGCCACAGGAACGTCTCCTACTAACCAACCTTGAAACCCTGGAGAAGGAGGCGAATGCTCGACAACAGGCTCAAGAGGCATACAAACGCAAAGCCTTTGAAAGCCAGCAGGTTTCGGAAGATTTACGCGTTACCGTGCAGAAATACCAAAGTCAATTGAAGGAGGCCCAGGTTTCGGTGCAAGAAAAGGCTTCCGCTTTTGAACGAGTTTCATTCCGGCACCAGAGGCTTCAGGTTTGTGCTTACTGACGTCTGTTGTACCTGTTTTACCTATAGAGGAAAATGTTGGTTGCTCAGGTAGCGTAGATGGTTGTCGTTGACTTGTTCGCTGAGCTGGGCAATTTGATTGCAAACGTTTCATCACCAATCGAGGTGACATCATCAGTGCGTTATTGTGGGGCGTAGTAGTGCCTAGTGGTGGGTTGGTGGTTATGGTGGCGCATCGACAATATGGTATCTCAATGCGTTTCTTTCTGCATGCAATACTGCCCAGCAATGAATCGAATTAATTTTGTCTGTATTCCTTTTGTTTTCACTACCTACTTACAATTAGTGACTGTGCTCCGGTTTTCCATTAAAGGAAGAATTGGTTACTTTGCGACGCAAGTTTGAACGGCTACGAAAAATCGAGCAGTCTCACAATGCTGATGAAGTGCTCTTGGCCGAAATCCAAGACTACAAAGTACGTTCTCAGCAGTTGATAAATTGTTCAACGACTACATTACCCAACTGTTTTACACTACACTGATTTAACGCTGTTGTCGCATATGCACAGTGTTTTTCTCTCCCCGCTGTTATCGCCGCGCACAAAGCTGGCTTCAATTTTCCGACGTCACACTTTGTAAAACCCATTATTTGCTTTCGGGCCCTCGGTGATTTTTTCTGCCGGGCTAATTTGTAGGTTTCCCCTGTACTGTCTGTCCGTTCTGGCCTGTTTACTTTGGTGAGCCAAAACCAAAAGGAAGCATTAGACTGGTGGTATTGTTGTTAGAGCTCATTAGTGGTGCGTGTTGTTGACCGCATCGGGATTTGATTTCTAGTCGCTTGACCTTCAAGATGAGCGTATCACCACTGTTTCAGCGCACACAGGGTGCCCTCAAATTTACGTATGAAGATTTGATATTGTTCACTGGTACGTGTGCGTGGTATATGAGGCCACAAACAGCGACTACCCCAGTTGTGTCGATCGGTTAACCTCCTAGTTCGGTAGTTCCAACGACGCCGTATAATCTAGGGCATTTGTGTAGACAGTTGCAGGAATTGTATTCCTGAAAAGTCGTTGGTTCGGTCGAGTAACGCCACCAAAATAAACAAACCGTAAATAGGTCTGTACACTGGTCAAGCCGCACCCAACCATGCTTTTCCATTACGGATGGAATTTCTCCAGCCAGTCTCCCTTGGAGACTTATTCGC